TGAACCGCACAACTCAACAGGCCGCCAATCGGTTACGAAGAAAACTGGTGCGTATGTAAGGGAGACACACATGCTTCTCCGCGAGTTACACTGCATTCTGTTTCAAAAGTTGTGTGCATGCTGCATCCGTACATGTATTCTTCCTTCGCTTAAAGATTCTAGGCTTCCCAAGGCATCGTGAAATTAGAATTCTAGAGCGAAGATCAGCAGCAGAGACAATTCTACATCTACCGATTTGCCGTTCTCCGAAGCCTAGCGAGCTTTGTCTTAGCCGGGTTTGCGTCGATGGGGGTCTGGGCGGACGGCGAAGGAGGTTTGGATCCCGAGACACGTGGAAATTTGAATCTGGAGGCGTCGATATACTAATCTTGAGACAATAATATAATCCATACTTGAAACCCATACATAATTGCTCTTCAGACAGGGTCACGCCTTGCTCATGTCGACGAAGCCTAAAAGTCCTACATCTATGTGGTGTAAAGCAAAATCAGGAAGAACTGCGTGACGCACTGTGCTGCTTGTAGCTGTACATGTTGTGAGAAGAAAGCAATAAGTTAATATAAATAGCTGGTATTCGTATTGTATAGTAGTACAGCATCGAAGCTATTCCGGATAGATCTAAAAGTGTACGAGTCGAGGTTGTCGGCGTTGAAGTTGTACAAGACAGCAAAGGCATCAGGTAATATTATTGATTACCTACTGGTTATCGATAAACCATTAGCTGCCGTTCTTATCGATAAGGCACATTGGAATGAAATTTACCTAAGCAGCCTCAAACCTGGAAGAACATTGAAGCTTGAAGCTGCAACCCGACACTGGCACGTGTCCTCAGGCTGGTCTAGAACCCACTTGTGGTGAGGAGTACAAAGAAGCTTAACATCTGGCCGGGATATGATTAGGCGTCTTTGTTAACGAAACCAGTACTTCTGGTTCGTCCAAATCTCGATCGCTAATGACAGCATACCAAAATGCGTCACGTCTAACACCTGATGATCACGATCCAAGTTTCAATTCGCATTGTTTGTAGGCTTCAAGCGGAACACTTGGAAAGGTAGTCCTAACCTCCTAACCTTTACTTGTAGGACATATTTCGATTGCTTACCGTATTTCTCTGCTGGTTCGAGAACGGTGGGAAGTTCGCCAGTTAGATTGTCGCCTCACGATTCGTGTCTTCATACACATGCATTCTTCTGCATTCTCCTGCCGGTGATGCCCTTGCTAGGCATGGGCAGTTGGACATTGGTCACCTCCCACAAATCGACGACAAACCATGCCGCTGCTACCAGATTGATCGTGTTATTCGCGCTGTTGGCGTCATGGCTGGGTGTAGTAGAGGCCATGCGCCCGAGTCGCATCGCACAGTTGAGGCAGGAGACGGTCGACATGTTCTACCACGGGTTCGATAACTACATGAAGATTGCGTTTCCCGAAGATGAGGTATGGTTGGCCACATATATAAAACCCAAAGTGGCTTGATTGCCAATGTAGAAATATGCATTAGCTCATAATTTACAGTTACGGCCCGTGTCTTGTACGCCGTTAACTCGAGATCCCCTCAACCCAAGAAACATTGCGCTGAATGACGTCCTCGGGAACTACTCCTTGACCCTTATCGACAGCCTTTCGTCCCTCGCGATCCTTGCCTCTGCGCCGCCTGATAGTAAGAATACTGGGCCCAAAGCCTTGAGCGATTTCCAAGATGGCGTTGCTGCGTTGGTTACACAATATGGTGATGGTCGACCCGGTCCTACTGGCCAAGGCGCCCGTGGTCGTGGCTTCGATGTCGATAGTAAGGTACAGGTCTTCGAGACCGTAATACGGGGTGTTGGTGGACTGCTTAGTGCCCATCTATTTGCCGTTGGGGAATTGCCAATTTCTGGTTATGACCCGCGGAGGCCGACTGATGACGACTTTGATATTGAAAGAAACTCCATTCCCTGGCCAAACGGCTTCAAGTACGACGGGCAACTGCTACGGCTTGCCCTCGACTTAGCTCAACGCTTGCTTCCAGCTTTCTACACTCAGACCGGGTTACCCTATCCACGTGTCAATCTTCGTCATGGGATACCGTTTTACGTGAACTCGCCTCTTCACGGGAACACTGGCCTCGACCAAAAGCCGGCCGAAGACTCCCCGGAAATTACCGAAACTTGTAGCGCTGGGGCTGGTAGTTTGGTCCTTGAGTTTACCGTGTTGAGCCGCCTCACTGGAGATCCGAGATTCGAACAAGCAGCTAAGAGGGCTTTCTGGGCTGTTTGGTCAAGAAGGAGTAACATCGGCCTCATTGGGGCTGGCGTGGACGCCGAAGAAGGACACTGGATCGGAGGATTCTCTGGGATCGGTGCAGGAATCGACAGCTTCTTCGAATATGCTCTCAAAACCCATATCCTACTGTCGGGACAGGAGCTACCGAATCGGACAATACCTCAAGTACATCATGATGGGAACTGGCTTGATCCCAACCAGATCTATCATCCACTTTCCGATGAGGACAACGCTCCCGATTCTTTTCTGCAAGCTTGGCATCATGCTCACGCCGCGATTAAGCGCCATCTCTACTCTGGACTACATCACCCACATTACGTGAATGCGCACATGTCTACTGGCTCTCCCCAGGCATACTGGATTGACAGTCTGGGCGCATATTACTCGGGCCTATTAGCGCTAGCCGGGGAGCTTGACGAAGCCATTGAGACGCATCTGGTCTACACGGCTCTTTGGACTCGGTATTCTGCCCTTCCAGAGCGATGGTCTGTCCGCGATGGTAACGTCGAAGGTGGTCTTGGATGGTGGCCTGGTCGGCCTGAATTCATCGAATCCACTTACCATCTGTACCGCGCTACCAAGGACCCTTGGTATCTATATGCTGGTGAAATGGTTCTGAAAGACATATACAGGCGATGCTGGACAAAATGTGGTTGGTCTGGCTTGCAGGATGTACGCACAGGGGAGAAGAGCGATCGAATGGAGAGCTTCTTTCTAGGAGAGACCGCCAAGTACTTGTATCTCCTCTTTGATCCAGATCACCCCTTAAACAAACTTGATGCCTCGTACGTATTTACTACGGAAGGACATCCATTGATTATTCCTCGGAAGAAGTCCCATCGTTCAGTGCGCAAGCAGACGTCAGAAAAGGCTGTTCAACCCTATTTCGATGCCCATTTCACCACTACGTGTCCTCGACCGCCTGATTTACCACCGTTGTCGGGCTCCGCTACTGCTGCGAGGCCGGATCTTTACAACGCAGCGACTCTGATCCGGCTTCACCAGATTCCAAACATACACAGCGGTTCAGAGGATACAATCGCAAAGCTAGGCGGATCTGAGCCGCAAACAAAGCAATCCGAGACACCGAGAGAGAATTACACCTATTTCCCCTGGACATTACCTCGTTCCATGCTTCCAGCCGATGGAATCTGCGCCGTGACAAAACAGGCCCAGACGTCAGTAATTGAGTTTCCTTCTAATACTCAACAATCCGTAGGCAGCGCCTTCAACCTTATGTTTGGTGGCCACAACTTAGTTCGCATGGGGAGCGAAGGCATTGCGATTAATAGTCTCTCTGGCCTGAAGCTGGCCCTGCTCATGGAAGAGCCACCGGAAACGACTGAACGGGCTTGGAGGATCTACAGCATCGGCAGCATACCATTGGGCCGAGACGAAAAGGTCTTCATCACCCGTGACGTCCTCGAGGACATGTCGGATCCGCTGTTCCATCGCGTCCGCGACTCTGTCCTCGTGGATCTGCTCTTGCAGATCGAGATCCCGCAGGAACCATTAGAACAGAACACGACATCCGATCCCGAGCCTTCCTCCGACAGCGGGTCGACCATCGAACTTGATATCGAGTCCTCTGTCGGCACCCAGAACTTGTTCAGCTCCTTCCTGCAGCAGATAACCTCTGTTCTGCGGGAGCCAGCCGCTACTTTCGGACCCGAGCCGGTGCCTCCGCCGAAGTTCAGATACGTAGAGCTCCCCGCCATCACCCCCGTCGGAGTAGGCGCTGCGCCCTTACCCGACGTCCGCGAGGCTCCCAACCCGCACACAAACGCCATCGTCGACCCGCTATCCTGGCAGCGCATCTTCTTTGCGGGCCACGCCTGCGAGGGCAAGCTCCCCGACGCGGCGCCGCGATCGCATCAAGTGATCGTCATGCGCCGCGGCGGATGCTCGTTCTCGGAGAAACTCGCCAACATCCCGTCGTTCGCGCCGAGCCGGCATGCGCTGCAGCTCGTCATCGTGGTGTCGGACGATAAGGACGCTCTGGATCACGACGACGACGACGACGGAGCAGAAGAAGGGCGAAGGGGCGGGGAAGATATTTACAGCTTCAATTTCATCAGGCCGCTACTCGATGAGCCCCAGAAGACGCCCGCGGGGATCCTTAGGCACCGTCCCATCGCGATGCTGATGACGGGGGGAGGGAAGGAGGCGTATGAGTTGTTGAGAACGACGAGGAGTCTGGGGCTAAGGAGGAAATACCATGTTGAGAGCCAGGGGTTGAAGATAAGCAATCTGATTGTCCTGTGAGAGATACCTGGAGGAGGGAGGTATGTACCTAGTCGGGGGTGGAATGCGATAGATACAAGTACATATGCACGACGTTATGACGAGTGGTTTAGGTTGTTCTGGTGTGTGTTGCTTGAGAGAGAGCGACGCAGTATATAGAGAAACCCCGATGTAGATATTTGATTAAAAATGGAGGAATCGCTGGATAGAAAGAATTGACGGCGTTGTGTTCATTGATACGTTTCTTACTACCTACGTCTTGATCACTTGCTCTACACGTTCATCCCTGGGCAAGACAAGACAACACCGAGTCAGGCCAAGAAAGTAAAGACGAACTCTGGCCCCGTGCTTTTCAATCCGTCTCTCACTAGAGAACTAGGAAAAAGAATGCCAAGGTTCACTCGAAAAAAAGCCAGTACTCGATATGCTAATAAGCTAAAAAAAAAAATAAAAATAAAAATGCGGTACCAGAGGAATCTAACCTCCAATGCTGGACTCGCGGGGAATCGAACCCCGGACCACTCCCAGTTGCTTGACTCAGCTCGGTAGACCAACCATCGTATAGATCGCCGGCGTGCTTCGTCACGTGCTAAGGGAGTATTATACCACTAAACCACAAGCCCGTGTTGATCTTGGTGAATCCAGATGGAATCATGATCGATGTGATTGGTTGAAAGCAGCGCTTTTTTTGTGGTTTATATCTGTGCTGTGGGCTGAGTGGATGTGTGTGAATCTGCCCTAATCCGCCGAGTGGAGATCGCCTGGGGGTCCGTATTCCCGGTCTAAGAGATAGTGGACATATGTAGGTCGTGTCTAAGCTATTCATAGAAATATCTCGCTGGCATGTCTCACTCTCTGAAAATACGAATTGTATTCGGCACGGTATACATAGAGCAGAGGCGTGTTTAACGGGTCAAGTGAGTAGAGCTAATGGACTCATAATAGGTCCGCAGAGAAGGACGCAGAACTATGATGAATCTAAGCTCAAAAACTCATAGGGATTATTCATCTACCATCAACGGCTCCCTGACACAATGTGGCGCTGTAAAAAGATCATTCACTAAAGTAGCCCGATACTTGAACATTGACGATTATGGCTCAACTGCGTACTAGACCTCGCCAACAAGATGCTGATGGCTAGCTGGCATATTAAAGTGAAAATGCACGTACCGAAAGGACATGTTCCAAGTCAATCTATCTACTACGGATCTAATTTCGGCACTCAGGTTATGAGAAGGTTTGCGGGCGGGTTCCTTCGGAAAGGGAAGTTTTGATTAAACAGATGTCGGCCCTTAAATAATAGGGCACATAACTAATCAGTCTCAAGAGACGATCAACACAATCCATCACGAAAGTAAGGGAGAGTGAACAAGCGATCATCGAACAAGGACTTCGTGATGTTTTACATGAGCAGGCCTACTCCACGAGGTATCGAACGATGCGACGGCGGGGTTGTTTATACCTAATGGTAGAGCAGCTCTTATGTCCATGACCTAAAACAGCCGACCATACTCTAGGTAGGCGGTATACGAAGCGGGAAAAAAAAGTACCATGCCGCTTTTATAAGCAGCATTCCTCGAGACCTTTCAATTGGAGGCTGGGCATGGCCGTCCATACGAGCTAGGATAAGCTTGCGATAGCTTGTGATGATGACCTACCAAGGAGCACTCTGAGCCTTATCTGACATCCCATGGACCTAACCCAGCACCAAGACGCACCCATGCTAGACCTGTTCGCTAAGGTTATATCGCTATTAGTTAGAATAACCGGCGAGTGCCCCATCCAATAACCGCAAAATGGCCGACAAGGCGAGAGGAGGCAATAGTAAGAAAACGTCATGGCAAATGGAAATTCGAGCGCAACCACACGTGGTGCCAGAAAGGCTCGCTCTCGTCATATATACTATCGCTGGCTGACACTCTGGAGCTTTTAGTCCGGAACATGGGCTCGACTTATATGTCGACGATAAAGCGATAGCTGTGATTATAAGGCGTGATGTAAGGTGTAGCTTGCATTATCAGATAGCCGCATCTGCTGTCAGTGCAGATACGAGAAAACGCTCCACGCTATATTCGCGCGTGGGCTCGGCCGAATTGACTACGGCAATCCGCCGCGAGTTGCCGGGACGACATCTCACCATTCTAGCGTTCTACTAAAGCTCACGCAATCTCGTAATCGCTTCATAGCGCTGGCAAATTTCTAGATCAGGCAAGTTCAATTAGGAGGAACTTCAGCCTCATAGTCGTATTGATGAGCTACCCAAAATATAACTCAGTAACAATTTTTTCCAAGCCTAGTTGGGGGGTATTCTTCTCGAAAGACGGTATGTAACGTCGTCTCGCTCGATATCCAATATCGATGTAACGCCATGAGCTCCGCCGTATGCAATGCAGATATTCCTACCCTCGTCCAATCGGCCAGGTGCAAGTCTTGATTGGACGCCGATAAAGTCTCACCAGATTTTCGGGCGCAGATGCCCCCACACCGAACGCCAGTTGCCCATGGTAATATGCTAGAACCAGTATGTATGTAGAAAAAACGCCGATATCATGCTGTATGTTGTGATCATCATCGTGACGATGAGTGTTCTCTGGTGGAGAAGCACCACTCTCGTATCATCACCGCTTCGTGTTGTACATGACTGCTGAGCTCTGGTTCTCTTGCGCCCGTGCCATGGCGATAACGACTGTGTTCTTGCAGACCCCGTAGCTACAACACTCTTCGGCCGGCATCACTCCGTTGAGAATCAGATCTCGTTTCGACTAGATGTGTGTTAGTAAATATGGAAGTAGTCTTCATAGTTGTGTAAATTAAGTACGGAGTAGACATACGTCTGGACAGCGGATGGGGGACGCCTCAACCAGAGCGCCTAACAATGAGAAAACGGTAACGACCGGTAATAATAAGCTGAATTGCATCTCGGTAGTATGCTTAGGCTGGGGTCCACAGATATCCAAACGAAGGTGGAAGAGAAGCTGGAATGCGGCGAGTTGATTTTATTTAACGATTGAGTTGGAAGGATTAATGCAACTCTTGTAGTTGATACAATCCTTCTCGATGACCTTCTAATAAGAGATGTAACGAATAGACATCAACCCGCATAAATTATAAGAGAGGGGGATCGAATAAACCACTTGGTTACAAGAAGTGAGGAGCGGTCTCTTATCATATAAGAAAGTGACGGATGGATACCGCTAAGACGAGAGTGGTGTCAGAACTCGGAGATGCAACACAAGGACACAAGGCATGTACAGGTATGCTGCAGCTCGTTTGCCCTATCCACGCCACGGGAGACAACCCTTGTGAGCTGAGTGGTCGGGTAACTCCTTGCTGCACATAGTAGGTGAAATGCGGCTATCGCAACAAATGACACATTCAGGCGTGATGGGGCTGAATAGCTAGTTGATCCTAGGGCTTGGGGCTGTGATTTCATTAGTAGGAAACATGACAAAATGTGACTGACTAGGACCTCGCAAGATGACAACCATCTCGGTTGGTACCTAACAGCCTGTCAGACAGTCATCGTCATGGCTGCTGATAAACCCGTCATTTGCGTGCCGAAGACTCTCGGAACAAAGCCACAGGGCAAGAAGGCGAGTGGCTGTGTGGTTGGCATCTCGTGTGAAAATATAGGCGGCGGCCTTGCCAAGCCCACCAAGACGCTTCGATGCGTTTCGTTAGCGAAGAAATAAAGAGCTCCGCAACCCGTAATAAGATACGAGGAGCCGGCGATTTGATAAGGTAGCTAGGAAATAGCTTTTCATACGGCCCTACCGGATATCGTAAGAAAAGCCATGTTGGCCATAGTGTCTGAACAGCCATGCTGATGCTAGAATGTTTTTGATGAGGAAAAAATAGAAACAAAAGTAGGGCCTTTAACCCAATTCAGCTGAGGTGACCCCCACCACAGCCCCGCTCCAGCTGGGACGGGAACACTCGGCCCGGAAAAGTTTGAAACCGGCCCTTGCGAGCCTAGAATCCATTGTCACATGACATAAGCTTGGCGCCCTATATCATAAATATAAACAAATTTATAATATCTATACATTAACTTTAAAACTTAACGAATATAATAATATCCAAATCTTTACATTTATTATTTATTATAATAATAACATTTTTTTCGTTTAATTAATATAACTTTTCGTCGAAATTTTTTTTATCATTTTTTTAATTAATTTCATTATCTTTAATTTAAATACCGATTTTTTTTACCTTCCCGTTAATAATTTTATTATTCCACTCATTAAACACTTTATTATAATTACCCAATAAAAATTAATGCTTTACCCTCATTTATATTAAATTTAAAATAAATTTTACATTTTTTTCATTAATTCCATTATTATTTTAATTATTAAATTAATCGTAATAATCTTTAAATATATTAAACTTATTAATATTATTATTTAAACATTACATTCCCATATTTATACATATTAATAATAAACTTATAACGTTTCGTTTAACAATTATTTATATTTTCTTTTATATAATATCTTAATATATTTATTATTAAATTAAACAATTTTTCCATTATACATTTAATCTTAAAAAATTTTAATAACGTTATAACGTTTATAAACCTTAACAATTACCTTATCAAATAAATTAAAAAGAAGTAATAATTTCGTAACTTTCTTAAGTTTTAAAAAAAAAAGTTTAAATTAACATAAAAATGATTAATAATTTCTAATTAATTAAAAAAGAAAATCTTTCCAATTAAATTAATTTCTTAACCATTTATTTCATTAACATTATTTATCTTAACGCTTCTTCAATTAAAACGATAATTTAAACCATTATATTTTATTTAACGTTAATTTTATCTTTATACTTTTAATAATCCTAAAATACTTTAACGTTAAATATAATTACTTACCTTTTTATTATTATTATAAACGTTTACGTTAATATCAACATATTCGATTAAAAAATTACCAATATATAAATAATTTAATTAATTATTATTAAATATATTAAACATTTTATTAATAAATTTAAACATTTAATTTAATCTTTTTATTAAAAATATACTTATTATATATCTTAATTTACATTAATTAAATTTTTTAAACAAAGAAATCCAATTATTAAAATTAATTACCCATCCTTAATCCTTAAAAACACCTAATAATATATTAATAAAAATTTAAATATTAAAATTAATTAAAATTAACCATGTTATAATAAGAAATAAATTAATAACTCTTAATATTATAAGTGACGTTAATGATTTTAATATTATTAAAAGTTTTATTAATATTACTAATTTTAATAATAACGCCAATATTAATAATTTAAGTTTTAATATTAATAATTTTAATATTAGATAAAATAATTTTATAAATATTTTAAAAAGAAATATCTCATTAACGATATAATTAATAATAAACTTCTTAATTTAAACCTTTATTAATATTAATAATTAAACCATTATATAAATTAATGTTAACGATAATAATAAAAATTTAATATTTAAAATTATTAGATTTTTTAACCTTAAATTCCCAAATTTATATTAAATAAAAATTATTTTATTTAACAAATATATCATCTACATTAATATATATACTTTTACTAATTAATTAAAAGAATTAACATATTTAATAACTTAAAGAAA